CGTGATTCTGATGTCTGATAATGTCAAATCTTTACTTGTGTTCGTATTCTGAATTCTTCAGGATTTACACATGATCTGTTGCATTCAGAGGCGCGTTCTGGATAAGAAGATAAACAACATCTGACAGCAAGGTCTCTGATCACGAGGTTTTGAGGAGCGTGGAACCATCTTGTAATTGCTGGTGTTCCAATGTCCACCCTGACCCGGGTTGGTAGCACATATTAGCGTCCCAAATATGGAAAAGAATTTAATACCCAAACAGGGGTCAAAACACTATGAGAGTGTAAAAAGTGAAGAAAATATATTTTAGTAGGAAAAATATTACCAGCAATACATTTTTGAAAGAAAAATATTACCAGCAATGTACTTTTTGAAGAAAAAAATATTACAAGCGATACATATTTGAAGAAAAAAATATATTCCCAGCAATACGTTTTTGAAGGAAAAATATTACTAGCAATATATTTTTGAAGGAAAAAATATTACCAGCAATACATGTTTGAAGAAAAATATTACTATCAATATATCTTAAGTGAAACATATAACCTGCTATACATTTTTGAAGGAAAAAAATATATTTGCAGCAATACATTTTTGAAGGAAAACATAACCAGCAATACATTTAAAGAAAAAAAAATATTACCAGCAATACATTTTTGAAGAAAATGTTTTACCAGCAATCTATTTTTGAAGGAAAAAATATATTCACTGCAATACATTTTTGAAGGAAAAAAATATTACCAGCAATATATTTTTGAAAAAAATATATATATATATATATATATTAACAGCAATACTTTCTTCAAAAAAAAAATTGCCAGCAATAAAAAAATTCTATCGGCATTAAATAAGCTATCGAGCTTTATATGCCATAAAACAAATCAAACCAAGCATGCAGAGGCTTCCTTACTCGATGCTTGATTTTGTCACTGTACGAAAAAAGCATTTATGCAAACCCCTTTAATTCGTTGAACATTCAGAGACAAAGAAATACAAAGCAATTGTTGAAAAACAATTCAAGTACATTTTGCATTGTCAATTAGGCAGTGAGTTTTCAAATTAAGAAAGAGGTTAAAATGTCACAGACAATTTGCAACAAGTATTGATGTCATAACGTCTACAGTAAGAACTAGCCTTGGGAAAGTTCATGGCATGCCGACATTGAGTGTGAAGGAAATTGTTGCGATGTGATTGCTGTTCACTGCCTGAAGTACATATTGATCTGATGTGCGCTGTCGTTGGTTAGTGGACGCTATTACGATTTTATTGTCTCTAGTATCTTCGAGTAATCGAAAACTGAAATAAAGTTAGCGTGTTTAGAGAAGGGTTGACCAGCTTCCATTGTCTATTCGCTCTTTTCCTTGGTGTCCGTTGCTGTTGAAATTCTATACAAATAATTGCTTTTCTTCTAAATTTCATCTGAAAATTGGCCGATTTCGGATTTTTTTGTGTTATATCATTTTTTTCAGGTTAATTATTACTAAATATTATCATTTTGATAAATAACAGCGAGATACAGGTACGGTTTTCATGAGATTTAAAAAATAAATATAGGTCCGGCTTCTAATAAGGTCGACAACGGTCTACACCTGGGTATGACGATAAACTACGTCCAGAGGTATGACATCTGATCGGGAGATTGAAGGTTTTGAGATGCGTTGAACTACCTCTAAACTGCTATTGTTCCCAGGTCCACTCCGACCTGGGGTTGAAGCCCCTGTTAGGGTCCCAGTTAGGAGTACACAGTGAACCCCTAAACAAAAACAAAACCACAATGAATCTATGAAAATATATTTTTATAGCAACATGATTAGCAATATATTTTATAGCAAAATTATGTTTTATCTGTAGCTGAAGGCCTGCAAATACGTTCAAAATATTTAGATTTCGGTATTACGTGACCCATAGAGGTGTTGATATGCCGCTCAAAATCAACAAAGGTATCGAAAATGGTCCAGTTTGCATGAGATTTAAAAAAATATAGAGATAAGTCCGGTTTACACGAATCAAAATGGTATTTATAGGTACGGCATACATTTGTCATATTTTGTGGACGGTGTATTCTTGGCCACAACTAACAGAATGGTGGTTGGTTCTGCTTAAAATTATTCTGATGTCAATATTATCTATTCCCTGATTTTTATCATATATTGAATATTTCTTAATATCATACTAGGGGTTTATTTAAACTATTTATATTTTTCGGAATATTTTCCTCTTCTTTATCGTCATACTTATGACGTCTCGGTCATTATTATCTAAAAAGGAACATTTTATCTTTGGTGTCTTTGAAATATTTTTTAGGACAAATCATTTTTCTTTGTTTTGATGGAATATACTCTTTAAGTTAATACTTAGGGGTTATGACCTGTAATACTCAGACTTTATTTTCCAATAAATATTAAAAAAAAGTCTGTGCATTTATCTTGATACCATTATCGAATTTGTAGCCGTCTATATCTGTAATTCTTGAAATTCTTGCCATTTTTGTCTTCTAGGTGATATCTTTTGACTATAACCATCTAGCAGACAACCTTTAGCCTAGCTATCGTGTGAAGACAATACAACTCTACATTCATCATTAAAATCGCTCTTAAAATCATGTTTCCATGTATTTCTTCGTCCGACTTATTCGTTTGTCTTCGTGATTTTCACTTCAAATTTGTAGTTTGGTCGCTTTCTTGTCTTTGACCAATTTTCTTCATATTCTTCACCTTTTCAATCTGTTTGCAGATGCAACACTCGTTTCTTCAAAATATTTAAAGAAGCGTGTACTCTTGTGCATTATTAACTTTTCTCACGTATCTTTTGGTGACATTCTTAAAGACTATTGTCCTCGTCTTTATCGTCATGTTCACGACGTTTCGGTCATTGCAGGTTCCGGCCTTCTTCAGGGGGTATACGTTGGAATTTCGAGTCGAACTCTTTATTTCAATCACCGGGTTAAATTGTTCTAGTTCCACGTGCCATTCCAATGACACATGGCCCAGTGGATAACAAGATTGCTAGAAGTAATCCAATTACTCGACGCAAAGAGTTGTGAGTAGCTCAATACCGGGCCACAGCAGAGGTGAACAAAAACTTGGAAAGTTCACTAAAGGGAAGTAACCGAAACTGTGAGATCCAGGAGAGGCATGACACGTGGAACTAGAACAATCTATCCCGGTAAACGAAATAAAGGTTTTAGTTCGAAATATCCCCTGAAGAACGCCGGAGCGTACAACGGCCGAAACGTCATGTATATGACAATAAAGATGAGGAAATTAGTCCGAACAATGTAAATAGCGTAAATAGATAAAATACCTCGCCCCAGAAATATAAGACAGATAGCATACGGGGGAGTTCTGAAAAGTTATCAAATTCTAAAATCTAAACAAATGTCTATAGCCTAGAATTACTTTTTTCAGTTTTTTTTTTTTCAATCTATTTGTAGATGCAACACTGGCTTCTTCAAAATATTTAAAGAAGCGTGTACTCTTATGCATTATGAACTTTTCTCACATATATTTTTGTGACATTCTTAAAGGCATTTTTTTCTTGTTCATAACTTTTTCAACTTTTTTTTTTTCCCCTATCGATGTTCGAGTTTTTCGTTATTTCAAATCTTGTCTTTATATGAAGAAATAACTTTACAATATTCTGTTTCTCTTTTTTATGATTATATCTTTATTACTGCGTATTTCAGTCTTTATATATCTGAAATTAAGATATAAACTCATATGCATCTTCTGCTTAGTGACGCTTTTAGCGATGGCGTTAAATTGGGGGCGAGGAAATATTACAAACAACGGTAACGATTTGACATCGAAATCGATAAAGACACATGAATAGTCAGCTTTTTAATCGATTTATCTTGTTAATTTTTGACATTGTGGGTATCTAAATGCATAACCTCAATCAATTTTCTATAGATGTTCTCTTTGTTTTTATTTATTTATTCTTAAAGCTGTTGTTTCTAAATAGTCCGCTTCTTATCAGTATTAAATATGTAAGTAAGAAAATATGGTATGATTCAGAATGTAAATTTATTGCCTAGAAGGTCAGTGAACTTTCAATGCATTTTCGCCTTAATAATTTTTTTGCATCCCAAGCAAGGCGGGAAGCCACTAGCACGCAAGGGGTTACAGAGAGTTGGAGCGAGAGCAAATAGGATGATAGAGGAAAGGATGAAGAGAAAGATAGGGGATAGATCAAGGCATCTGGAGACGTGAATTGACATTACATTTGAATATTTGGAGATTATAGCTATCAGGGAAACAGGAAGAGGGGAGGGAGTTCCACAGGCGAGAAGTGCGAGACCTGAAGCTTTTGTAGTAGAAGAGACGGCTACATTTAACAGTTTCGACAGTAAAAGGGTGTGAGCGAGATGCCAGCCTAGTAGAACACTTAAATTCATGAAGTTTGGGAACCAGCGAAAGCAGCTCCTCGTAGCAGTTAGCATGAAAGTATTTGTAAAAAAGACAGAGGGAGGCGACGGCATGTCTGTGAAAGCGAATGCAGACGAGATGCCAGATCAGGGCCAATTACGTTGCATATACTTTATCTTTTACATAAAACTGTTTTCTTCGCCAGACTATATCTTTAGAACTAACACAATGGATAACACTCTTATGAGTTTGAATTCCTTGGGACGAAATGTTTTTTTTTTCAATTTTTCATTCGATTGTCAATTTTTAGTCTGATGTATAGAATTTTACATCATAACACACTTCTATATAACAGTATGTTTTATAAATGGATTACTTTTCTACGGCTTCTCAAACTTTTACACGTTATTTAAAGCCAGAAAATAGTTTAGTGTGTAAAAATTTTACTGAGAAAATAATTATTTAGCGATCCAGGTATTATTAATTAACCCATAGCTGGGAGAGAAGATGTGGATTCATACCATTTCAAAGGGTATTTACGTGTGAGTATAACGAACCTAACGGGAATTAAAACTCAGCTCTCCGATGAACAATTCCGAGCCATTATCCAAGCCCATTGCCGGCACATTCAAGATTGCAGCAACTGGTATTCCCAAGCGGTCGCTCATCTAGTTACTGACCTGGCTCGACGTTGCTTAACTTTGGTGATCGTACGGGAACCGATGTTTCAACATGATGTGAACGTAAGCCCTATATAACAATGTTATAAATCTACGCCCGTGTTGACTAACGCTAAAAAAAAATAAATGTTTGCAAATTATTCGAACAGAAATTAGCACAATATTTAGATGGTATATTTATCGACTAAATCTAAGTATATCTTGAAATCCTACCAAAATTGGTTGCTTAATCCTAGAACACTAACCATAGGTATATAGTACCCAGAAAATATTTTTCTATTTTGAATTACAATTATTTTTAAGTACCTGATTTTCTTACCTAAATAATATGTTTTTCAGTTCCTATTAATGTTAACTCAAAGTAAAAAGTTTGAAGTGCCGGCAGGTAAAATATTTCAAATAAAGATTTATATTTAATATTTTTTTTGATATTTTCAAAATCGGGTATGATATACCCATGGTTAGTATTGTGTAATTTTAATTGATGGTTAATGTTGTAGGGTTAATACGAAATTATGAAATTATTGATTTGCTTAATTGGTTGGATTTGAAAATGTCGCCTGCTTCAAAGTGTTTTGAAAATAATGGCGTCACGCAGAAAGTTAACAGGAATTAATTCCAGGCGAACAAAAGATAAGAACAGTAGGTATGAAAGCATTAAGAGATTATCTAAATAAACATTCATTTCTAATCCTAAATCTTAAATCTGTAGGAGATGAGAAATAGGATTTATCGATACAAAAATAAAGGCACTATGATCTCGAACTTATACAAACCGATTCCCGAAATTGCAGAATGGATCACTGAAGGTATTGCATATCTCCTACCAAAAACTTGTGAAACAGATGATCCCAATAATTATTGACCAATAACATGTCTATCCAAGACATCTAAATTGATCACGTCTGTCCTGACCAATTGTACTTACTCTTTTCTCGACGAAAACAAAATTCTCTCTCGAGAACAGAAGGGGTGTCGAAGAGGTTCATATGGTTGCAAAGGCCAACAACTAATAAACAAAATGATCCTGGAAAATTGCAGAGAAAGGAGAATTCCCAGCACATCTTGCGTAGATTACCGTAAAGCTTTGGATAGTGTGCCACACTCTTTGATCCTTAAGACTTTGTAAATTAACAGACTTCTTAGTAATAGTATTTTTCTTAACTATAGCATAGAACTGTGGAAAACTTTATTATACCAATGGTACTGCCATTTTCAACTGTTTGAATATCCGATGAGAAATCTTTCCAAGAGATTCCCTGTCACACCTTCTGTTCATTTTATCCTTAATCACGGGTACTATTGAAACATCTATAAAAACACTCAACACTCGTTTTCGGATGTCGGGATTTACGCATGCGCGTCAAATAAATAGAACAATGGAAGTATCAATATTCATCAATTATTTACAGCATTATTATTTTTTTACTTGCCAAAAGTACGCCCAAAGACTTTTTCTCCAAATTAATCTTCTTATATATATATATATATATATATATATATATATAAATAACGTCACACATTATGAAAAGGACAAATTCCGACAATTATTTTAAGACATTTTTATGTATATACATTATTTTTATAGATACAAATATTTAAGTAAATGCTCTGTTTATAATAAACAGTATTAAACAATATTTACCGGCCTGAATGTCCGAAAAATTTTCATAGAAAATATTCTTACTGCGACAAGATTCGAACTTATATCCTCTACGAAACTGTCATATAGCCTGACGTGCATTTAACCGATTGGGCAACAGAGGAGCGTTCGGTTAGCAAGGTCGATTTTACTTTCTTTAAACAACAATCTTCCATGATTCTCTCACATTTATATCTGCTCATGGCGTATCCAAATGTAAACAAATGACGTCACACATTATGAAATGGACAAAGTCCGACAATTATTTTAAGTCTTTTCTTGTTTATACATTCTTTTTATAGATACAAATATTTAAGTAAAGGCTCTGTTTATAATAAACAGTATTAATCAACATTTACCCGCCTGAATGTCCGAGAAATTTTTATAGATAATATTCGTACTCCGACAGGAATCGAACCTATATCCTATACAGGACTGTCATATAGCTTGATGTGCATTTAACATATGAAGAGAGATGTTGCAAGAAAATGCCTAAAGGCAGTAAGCGGCTGTGCCAGTTGATGTCGGTTTTGCGAATTGAATGGAACTAAAGTAGATCTATTTATCTTTCCTAATGTGTTTATATTTGTCTCAGCTGCAGTGCAGCAATTATTCAAACGAATACAAGCTACGAGAAATAGTCAAATATATACTAACATATTGAAATGAACATTAACGTTTTGCGCACTGAGTTTCTGAACAATTTTAACCCTTAAGTCAAAATTCGCAAATAATTCATATGCAATGTTTCAAGGTAAATATAAAAATAGTTAGAAGTGTTTACCCACCGTTCAACCGGTGGCTGGGCATTAAGTCATTTTTCTCTACCCCTGTTCAACCGGTGGCTGGGTATTACGTCATTTTTCTCTACCCCTGTTCATCCGGTGGTTGGGCATTACGTCATTTTTCTCTACGACTATTCAACCGGTGGCTGGGCATTACGTCATTTTTCTCTACCCCTGTTCAACCGGTGGATAGGCATTACGTCATTTTTCTCTACCCCTGTTCAACCGGTGGCTGGGCATTAAGTCATTTTTCTCTACCCCTGTTCATCCGGTGGCTGGGCATTACGTCATTTTTCTCTACCCCTGTTCATCCGGTGGCTAGGCATTAATTCATTTTTCTCTACAACTGTTCAACTGGTGGCTGGGCATTACGTCATATTTCTCTACCCCTGTTAAACCGGTGGCTGGGTATTACATCATTTTTCTCTACCCCTGTTCAACCGGTGGCTGGGCATTAAGTCATTTTTCTCTACCCCTGTTCATCCGGTGGCTGGGTATTACGTCATTTTTCTCTGCCCTGTTCATCCGGTGGCTAGGCATACGTCATTTTCTCTACCCTGTTCAACTGGTGGCTGGGCATTAAGTCATTTTTCTCTACCCCTGTTCATCCGGTGGCTGGGCATTACGTCATTTTTCTCTACCCCTGTTCATCCGGTGGCTAGGCATTAATTCATTTTTCTCTAACCCTGTTCAACTGGTGGCTGGGCATTACGTCATATTTCTCTACCCCTGTTCAACCGGTGGCTGGGTATTACATCATTTTTCTCTACCCCTGTTAAACTGGTGGCTGGGCATTACGTCATTTTTCTCTACCCCTGTTTAACCGGTGGCTAGGCATTAAGTCATTTTCTCTACCACTGTTCAACCGGTGTATAGGCATTACGTCATTTTTCTCTACCCCGGTTCAACCGGTGGCTGGGCATTACGTCATTTTTATCTTCCCCTGTTCATCCGGTGGCTGGGCATTACGTCATTTTTCTCTATCCCCTGTTCATCCGGTGGCTGGGCATTACGTCATTTTTCTCTATCCCCTGTTCATCCCTTTTCATCTTTTGGTGGCTGGGCATTACGTCATTTTTCTCTATCCCTGTTCATCCGGTGGCTGGGCATTACGTCATTTTTCTCTACCATTGTTCAACCGGTGGCTGGGCATTATGTCATTTTTCTCTACCACCGATATAGCGATGGTTAGGGCTCAAAGGTTTAATTTATGATTTTTTGATACAAACATTTTTCTGTTTTAAAACAATGTCTGCTATAGTCTATGTGAGTTGGGCGACTTTTTGGCGCGGTTATTTTTGGATATCATCATGTTCTTTTTTAATTTGTATCTCCTGCTAAAAAATACAACTAGTAGTTATGGAAACAACGCCAATCGGGTAAACGTTTCATATGTAGCAAAACGCGATGTAAAACATTCACTCATAAACTGGCAATTATTAGAAATTTACAATAATTTGAAGTGGCTGTAGATATTTGCGCGATATTATTCTTATCTGTTTTATTAATGCGCCTTTCTTTTTTCACAAAGAGTATCAGTGCAGTGAGGGAAAAGATATTTATAAAAGCTAGATTTACCTTGTACGAATAGCATTCAGTCAGCCATATATAACATGGATTTATAAATGGAGGGTAAAAGAAAGAAAGAAAGAAAGAAAGAAAGAAAGAAAGAAAGAAAGAAAGAAATTCTTCCTGAATGGGAAATAGAAAATAATAAATAATAAAATCGTATTCAAAGCAAGATTGTAAGAAAAGGAAACAAGTTACTAGACTGAAAGAAATCGTTAAAGAATTAAATACAAATGTGAGAGAAAGAAACAGGATGGATAAATGAAATAAAAAAAAGGAAAGGGGGAATGAACAAAGAAAGGGAAAAATACAAGGAGAGAATGAAGGGAGGGATAGATTAAAAAAAATAAAAGAAGAAGAGAAGGAAAGAAAGAATGAAGGGGAGGAGGAGAGAGTAAAGAAAGAAACATAGAAAGTAGGAAGGAAAAAAGGAAGCACCGAAAGAAGATATGAAGATGCGATGAAAAGAGGGAAGGAAGAAAAAGGAAGGAAGGGATGAAGAAAGGATGGTAGGAGAGAATAAAAGAAGGAATTGGAATTATATTAAAAGATAAGTGGCATAAATTGCAAGATTTTTAAATGGAACCAAAAATTTCTAAAGGATAATATTCGAAAAGGGAAACCTTTTAGAAAGAAATTGGGGCAAAAAAGAATGGAATTATATAAAGGAAAAAAAAACAAATATGAAGAAACATAGGATGTAAAGAAGCAAAGAAAATATAACATAATGAACTATGAGCAAAGGTAAAAAAAATGTCAAATTTGAATTGTGCTAAATAAGTTATACTTTCTTTTTCCGGTTGATAATTTCGCTATCCCAGTTGATTCGATTATGCTTTTTCTACCCCCACCCTTCCCAGATTCCTGACCCTGGCGCTAATAGCTTTTTGGTTTTGGTGTTTTTCTGTCATTTAAGTCAAACCCTATTTCATAGCCGTGCATGATGTTGTGTGCTCTCTAACTCACTCCTTTTCAATATTTCTGCGTTTCACAATTACTTTTAATTATATTTTAATACGAATATCTTTTTTTATGCTTACAGATATTTTATTTCATTCATAAGTCTTGACT